AAAATGGTGCTAATTGCTGACTGAGCTCCTGTTTCCTGACTGCTTTGCACACCAATCACCTGCTTCTTCATTTGCAGCACAGCAGTGCCAAAACCTGGCACCCATGCATTCCACAAACTCTTGCCTCTTGGAGGCAGATAGGAAGTGTCTAATTAATATTTTGTGGCCTGGGTTTGGTTGCATATCACAAATTGTCTCTTGTAAACACGTTAAGCACACCTCCTTGTGGTGCTTTTCCATTGTTGATATTCTGATGAAAGTCTCACACACACACACAGACACACACACACACACACATATTAATGTACCGCCAATTGATTGTGACGTGCTTGTGATCTTTGCTTGCTCAAAGGGTTCTTTTTCCAATGATAAATAAATGCTGAAGACGAATACCACCTCCTTGATCTTGTTTTCTCAATCAGAAGCACAGTTAAGTGAATGAAATGCCCATCCAAGCAAAATGAGGCTTGTGTTGCTTAGAGGTGTCACTTTCCTGCCTGCTGTAGGGACAGCTGGGCTGGCACAGTCTAACTCCCTTTAGGTGGCTGCTAACCTCAGACCAGTTTGGCATGAGCTCTAAGTGCTTACAAATGCAAAGATGGACAGTGAAGTCACGTGGATGGTGCAAGTTTTCTTTTGTTTTCTATATAAAATGTCTTTGAGGAGAGGGTCCGTGCAGTGCCTTGCTCATGTCCACCTTGTCCTGGCTCAGGGAGCAGAGACCAAATCCCAAGGAGAGATGGAGGGAGGGTAGATGATGTGTATTTACCAATGTTAATTACACTTTTTTCCAACTGTCTACAGCTTTTGTTTTCTCCCTAAACCAAACCTGAAAAACCTGGTCTGCTGGAAGGTGTCCCTGCCCATGGCAGGGGATTGGAACTAATTGAGCTTTAAGGTCCCTTGCAGCCCAAACCTTTCTATTGTTCTGTGAAGAACATCTGAGAGGCCAATGAGACGGTTGAAGGGGCTATAAATCTTCTTTGGAAGGAAGTGGCAAGTTCTTGGGTTGAGCACTTTCAGTGCACTGCAAACCCAGCCACTGTTGAGCAAGTGCTTGGCAGACTCTGTAGAAGTGCAAAGCAGAAATTTTATATTAATGAAAGCATTGGCTATATGGAAAAAATGATGCTTGAGAAGAAAGCAGGACTGAGGGCACAATTTTATTTTTAAGTTGTGAACCCTAATCTTAGCTTAATTTCTTTTTTCTTTTAATTAGCCTGAAATTCCAACTTTTAATCACATTTTCTCCTTTAATGGATATCCCCACCAACCTGAAGAAAATTACTGTATTTTTGAGCAAACTGGTCTACTGGAAGGTGTCTCTTCCCATGGTAGGAGGTTTGGAACTCGGTCTTTAAGGTCCCTTTCAATCCAAACCATGCCATGATTCTGATTTTGAAACCTCTCCTCCACCTCCTCCTCCTCTCTGTTGACATCCATGGGCCACCAAACTTTTCTGCCTTCCTGTTGCTAAGGGTGCCGTTTCTCATCCCTGCCTGGTTTACAAATCACTTTCTGAATTTATTCAATTTGTGACCACAAGCTAGTAACAGTGCTGCTTTCTGATGTGCTCTGTATGACCCTGCCTTCCCTCTCCCTTCCCCACCAGTTTCATCCATTCATCAATCACACCTACCTATATGATCTTTGGAGTGTTTCAGCCGGCCTGTAGGTTACAGAATTTATCATTTCACTCTCTACAGCAGAGAAAATGCTAATTTCTAAAAGTTTGGTTATTATTGGGGCTTATCTGTGACAATCCATAATGGGCAACAAAGTGCTTCTCCCATGACACAAAGGTCTTTTCCCTGCTGCAGTCTTCACAGGTACTCCATCTGCTCCCTGCAGCTGCCCAAAGTGAATGCTGGAAAACATGCCCTGGCTTCCCTGCTGATCTCTGAACTCACTCAGCCTCACAGAGCCCAAATACAGGAAGGGCAGGATGCATTTCAAGGGAACAGTAGGACCTATTGGGCTAATGGAAGGCCTGGACTCCCTGGTCTTTAACCATCACTGTCTGAACCCACTGGTGCTGCCTGAGTCCTTGATCTTCACCAAATCACTGGTGACTGGCACTGCCCACCTCTTTCCAAGGGCTGTGCTGAAGGGCTTCACTGAAAATGGAGTGCTTGGTCTTATAAGAGCATTTAGTGTGGAGGTGTGGAGGCAGCAGCTGGAGGAGAAAAAGTCTTATTTGTCAATGTTGGTGTTTGGGCGAAGTGAACAAGGAGGGGAGACAATAAATTGAATTTTGAAAGTCGAGTCTCCCTTTCAAATACTTAACAACAGAGCATCTTAGAAGTCTTTTCCAACCTAAATAATTCTGTAACCTGAGAGTGATCAGAGGCTTTGCAGAGGTGTCACTTTGACTGCCATGAGCAGTCTCATGAGGAGTTGTCTCTCTGCTTCAAATTTTACTGAGCTGCTTTTAAATACATCGTGTCCACTCATCTAGGAACCTTGTGCAGGGGTGGATGAAATTTTTCCTTGACACCCTTCATCCTTCCACTCCAGCCTGGGCACAGATCTGAGCTCCTTTTGGAAACCTCAGCTCAGTGATTAAAACATCATTTTTACATCCCTGACTGGTAAAAGGATGTTTCATCTGCTGAAATATCAGCCCTTATCCAAATGCAGCCTCTTGTGTCATGATATTCTTTTGATTTAGGGTGTAAGTAGAAATGTGCCAGTGCAGCAGAGAAAGAGACTTTTTAAGAAGATGCTTCTGACATAGCTTGTACCTCCCAACGTCCAAGGAATAACAACCATCCCCAAGAGTGACATCAGATCAAGAAGAGGAGCCATACAAGAAGGAGAAATTCCCTGGTATAAACATGATGATACGGATGTGCTCAGCTCTAAGAGCATTCCACATTTGGAAAATATTGTGGTGCTCAGACACGGGCTCTGCTCTGCCTTGTTACAGCAGTGTCATGGTAAGTTTGATTCAGTTGGGGAATTGGCACCTCATTTCCATTTGCCCTTATTCACCTGACCTTTCTGGGTTAGGAGCAATTCCATTAATGCCACTGGGTCTGCTTCCAAGCTCAGGGGTGTGTGATGAGGGATAACACAGCTCTGAGTACTTCAGGACTGGTGGTCTATCATGAACTTGAATTGCTTGTAAACACTCTTAATTTCTGTTGCAGGGTGCCTTGGGAACAACTCCCTAATCCTGACTGTCATGCGGAGGACATGTGAGGCAAGAATAAAAGAAAATCCTACTAGTGGATTGAAGGCATCTTTATGCTTTCAAAAATGTCAGCTTTCCCTTCAGGTAGTCTACTCCATGGAAGCCAATGACAAGGACCAGCCACCAGAAAAATGATGGATGGTAGTGGCAGATCTTAGTGATTGATATGTGAGAGCCCTGACTGCTTTCCATGTGTTCAGTGGTGTGAGAGATGGGAAGGGGAAAGGATTTCTTAACCCTCCTTGTTGTCCTCTGCCCACCCCAACCTAGCCTGTGGCATGCAACAACCCTAAGCCCCAAACAAAGCTGGATGTTCCCATATCTTCTAGGAGAGACTGGTGTATCCTCTCTAGCTCTGAAAGAGGTCTGGAGAACTGGGTCACAGCAAAGAGTGAGGAGCACCCTGCATGGCACATGGTGGAGGGAATCTCACCACATGATGGGTGGCAGATGGGTCTGTTCTCATCAGTTAACAGCACCCATAAGAACTTGATGGTTCCAGTACCAGATGGTCAAGGCAGGGAAATCCTGAGAGCAACCCCTGGCCATTGGACTGACCTGCTCCTTGGTCTGGTTCAGGATTTAGTACCCAACTGAAGACAAGTGCAGCTGTGGCCACCTTGTTTGGACCCAAGAGATTTGCCCAGAGAAGCTGTGGCTGCCCCATCCCTGGAAGTGTTCGAGGCGAGGTTGCACTGGAGCTGAAACAACCTGGTCTAGTGGAAGGTGTCCCTGTCCATGATAGGGGGGCTGGAACAACAGGATCTTGAAGATCCTTCACATCCAAATAATTCTGTGATCCTGTGATTTTTCAGCAGAGACACAGCCCCTCAGTGAACCCTAAATTTAATGAAACACAGTGCTCTGGAGCCACAGACAGTGAATGTCTTTGCCCCCCTTGCCCTGCTCTCTCCCCTCTCCCCAAGGTTCATTGCTGATCAGAGATCCCTCCCCCTTGGCTCCTTCCCTTGCAGTCTGCAATGCCCTCACCTCCCCATCTGATCCCATTTGCCCACCACACCACCATTCCTTCTTGCCTTCAGAATAATTTTCCCTCCATCCCCTCTGACAGATTTTGTGTGTCTGTCCCACAGCTGCTTCTCCAATCCTTTGCTTTCTCCCACCTCTCCCCTTCCAGCACCTTTCCCCTCCACATCACCCCAAATTCCCAGCTCCACCAATGACCTTCTCCTTCCCATCCTCCTCAGTTACTGTCTCATGTCCTGTCTCTCTTGGACTGTAAGCCTTATTCTTTGCCTGTACTGTGTGATATCACTCACTGCTTGAATAAATGATACCTCACCTACCAACTGCTCCTTCTCTCTTTGTTCTTGGTGTGACTTCACTAGATGAGTCTGCAAGTGTCTTGTGTGTCTGTCCTGGTGGCCAGTCAAGCAGTTGGTCTTGCCTCCACAGATCTGTCTGTCTTTTAGGGTGACACTGCTCATGCTTTTGTCCTCTGGTACCTTTGTTTCTTTTTTTTTTTTTTCACAGCCACAGGGACAAGCTTTGTTGTCAGTGTAGGAGCCTGGCACATCCAGAGCTGCAGGATCTTCTGTCCTTTGCCACTCTGGTGCATCTGATAAAGAGTTTGGCTTTTCTCCAGCTTCTTGCAGAGATGTCCTGTGCTGCCAGGTGGCTCAACAAATGCAGCAGCCAAGGAGAATGAAGGAGAAATCTTATAGCCCAGAGCAGAAACAGCTGATGGTAAAGGAACTACATTCCCCTGTAACTGGAAGCAGAGGGCAGAGATATCTCTCAGGGGAATCAGCAAAAGCTGGCTTAGCATGTGTCAGAGATGGATGCCCAGGAGGCTTCTTGTGGCTCGGAAGTTGCCCTGGACACCTGCTTCCTTCATCCCAGAGGAGGACTAGACCTGTCCATGGTCCCTCCTACCTGTGAGTACATCAAGGACCCAGTTGTGACTCAGTCTCAGATGGCTCCTTGCTGCCTCCTTGTCCTAATTTATTGCCTCAAAGCACTAGTTTGGTCAGTGCTGGCAGGAGCTGTTGGTGCACATGGAGATGTGGAGAGGTGCTCCTTACAAACATGGGAAGTTGCAGGAGTAGCTCAGTTCCTCTACCCTTACAGTGACCTTCACTGCCTGTGGTGTGACACCAGCCTGCCAGAAAGCAAAGCAGGCTCCAGGTCATGCTGAGTGAGCTCAGAGCATGGTCACCAGTCTGGTTTCATGGGCCATCTGCAGGAGTTAGGTCTGAGGACCTAATGAGAGGCAAAACTGAAGCAGTTTGGTGGACATGGATGGGAGAGGGATCAAGCAATGCTCAGTCCCCTGGGCTTCCTTCAGTGCCTGCTCCTGTCCTGTCCTGCCTGCAAGAGCAGACAGAAGAGATGAAATGTGTGGGGAGCTAAAATCCTCAGTGAAGAGCCTGGACATGACATCTAGGACATGCAAGACTTGCAGCTGGGTTGTGCCTGACATCTCCAGTCTCCTGGAATTTTGGTGTAGGTGCTGGAAAGAGGTATTGGGAAAGAGGATCAATTATCCCTTTATGTAGGTGATATGCTGCATCCTATCCTATGTGCCACCATGACTTCCACCTGCCTTGCTTCCACAGTGCTGCTGCCTCCTCCTCCAAGCTGTACATTCCACCAGTAAAAAAGCACTGAAAAAATCTCAGCTGCAGTTTTAGGGACTGACTAGTATTTAGGACATGATTCCTCCATGCTCCTCAGGTCCTCATCTGACTTGGAGGTAGGCAGGAGTCTTCTAGCATACAGATTTCTGCTAACAGAGCTCTGTAAGGGTTTGCCTATCTGCTGCCTTGGTTTGAACTCCAAAGGGCTGAGGTCCTTGTTGCTCATCCCACACCTACATCAGGCCAGACTTCTCAACCAGGCACTTTCCTCTTCAGACCTTGCTGGCCCCAAACAGGTGCACGTTTCCAGGTCTCACACCTTTACAAGGACAGCAACCCCTCTGCTTGCTGAGGTATAGAGCAAGGCTGGAATTCTGCACTTCCCTGATACAATGGACAGTGTTACCTGTACTGCTCGATGTGCCTTTTCCAAAGAATGCAACTGACACCAATTAAAAAGTACCATGTTAAGACCATTTTTCAGGACAAAAAAAAAAAAAGGTTTGTATTTTTGCTGCTGTTTTGTAAAGACAACAAGCTTCAGTGCACAAAGGGCAACAAAACATTCAGAAGACAGATGTGACTTGTCATAACCTACTCATGACCTAACTGGGAATTGCATTTGCCCAGAAATCGAGTTTTTGTCTTCTGAGGAACATGAACCTGTCAATGTCCTCCTGGATAAGGGCACCAACCCAAAGGTAGTTCCTCCACAGACAAGAGCTGTCTCCTCACCTGAATTCTCTGGGAAGGAAAGGACAGATTTCTCACGGTTTTTTTTTTTCTTTAAAATGTTCCTTCAGCACCAAAGTTCTGTGCCTGATGCTGTTTGCTGTTTCTGAGCCACTGGTAGAGGATTCCTGCTGCTTCTAGTTCTCTTTAAGGCAACTTTTAATTTTACTCTGCGCCTATACAGACTCATGACAGCTCTCAAATAGCTAAACTGCTTAAATTAAATTAATTTTGCAGAAGAGAATACAAGTCATGAGCTCATTTTGATATGAGGCCACCAAAACATCAAGATGTGAATTCACAGAAGAACAGGAATGAGATGTGAGCAGGTCCTCCACATCTCTGAGGAACAAGATAATATTGCTGGAGCTGTCAGAGGCAAGTTTAGACCCAGGTCACAAAATCCCAGCTCCATGTGGCTATACCAGGACCAGCAAAGATGAGATGGTGCTATGTGTGCTCATGGGGGCCCATGAACACCCCTTGTTATTTCCAGACACCTTGTGCTGCCTCTGGGAAATGAAATCCTACTGAATTTAATAGTCTTTCTGCACCTCTCTCAGGCATAACAAGAGGAGAAATCTGTCGCCTCCAATTCATCTCTTCTACATTTCTCACAAAATTAACCCAACAATTTGCCATCAACAGCCCTCATGAGGGCAAAAATCTCCAAACTCTTTCCTCGCTTTGCTTAAACAAAGATAATTTTATAAATGTTACTTCATGTGTGTTGGGGCTCGTTCTGTTTCAGGATCAGGCTTTCCTTTCAACTCTCCATTTTCCACACTGCCTCTCACTCTTCCCAAGGCTCGTACCCAGGGGTTGTTGTCTGCTATGCACGCTCTGTTGTTTCTGAATAACAACTTCAGGGGAAAAGAATGTAACTACCTACCCCTCACACTCCTTCCAGATTAAGACAGCTTTGGATGTACAATCATACAGTTATTTATTTATTTATTCATGCAAACAAAGAGGAAGCCTGGGGATGAGATGGGACAGTCTCTTTCACCTCCTCAGGCTTGAAATCCATGGCTGAAGGATGCACACAGTCATGGGAAAAGAGCCAGTAGATTAAAAGGAAGAACATACACTGCAGGCAGCAGCTGTTTGACTGTCTCAACAGGAAGGGACCACCCCAGTGCTGCTGAGATGGAGCAATTCCCCTGGTGATTCTAGCAAGGGCTCAGGAAAATGCTGGTGGATTGAAAACAGTTCATGTTGCTTCAGGCAGAGATGATTTTTTGCTTTCAGCGATCTCCTCTGAAATGCAGGGTGGCAGCAAGAGCAGGGTTGGATACTAAGGAAGAGGTGGGATGGCTCTGGTGTTGACCCACCTAGATCGGGTTGAACCTGAATCATCACTGGCACAGGACAACCTGAGATCATGCCCCATAGTTCCTGCATCCTCTCTCACTAAATGAGGTGTGAAGATGTGCTTGGTACATGGAGTAGTTGCTGATGGCCTTCGTGCAGGTGCTCTTGGGCACCATTTCCACTGGCAAGGATGTGCAGGCACCTCCAGCCTTCTCCAGAGACCAGGCAGTAGGTCCTGTCCTAGCAGATCCCTGTGCATCAGCAGTATGGACCTGGTCTACCCTGACAGTGGGCACTTTTCCAAACAGAAGCTGCTCTGCATTTTCCCCCTAATCCTTTGATTTATGGTGCTGGGCTCACCTCATTCCCACAGGAACTACTGGGCTGAAAGAACTCAGCAGATTTCCTACCAACCTCTGCCAACAACCTCTGGCAGCAAATGTCTTTCCATAGTAAGCAAAAAGGGCAAGGTGAGGGTGAGTATTTGGGAGAGAGCTGTCCTGCCAGGGCTCTTCACATGGTCCTGCCCCATGAGCCTCTCACACAGAAATGTTTTATCTTGTGTCTGGGTTGGGCTGATTTCATAGACCAAGAAAATGATAACCAGCCACTCCATGGTGTCAGCCCCTCCTTCCCTCCTCTAACCTGGAACCATTCCCTGCACAAAAATAATGCAAGACTGGTTGACAAATGGGGATCTCCACAGACCTTTGATGCAACCACCATGTAAAGCTGCCCATTTTAAATCTTAACAGGTTTCTCATTCATCATCAACTGTTTTCTGTCTTTCTGCACCCTTACAGACTCATTCCCATCCATCCATGTCTCTCCTCATCCCCAGACATCCTCCTCCTCTTTCCTAATGAAGACTGATTCCCTTGTTCCCTACAGGTTTTCCTTTCCCATCCCTCCCTCTGTGCTTTCTCAAGACACAGCCTTCCTTCCAATACATATCCAGAGTTTCTACTGGCAGCATCTACCCAAACTCCAGGGTGCCTTTTGTTCTTCTTTTTGCTGCCATCCAAGACTATCCAGGTGACCCTGCCAAACATCCAGTACGTTGGTGCCACCATCACCTCCTGGTGTCCCCCTAGGGGTACCAAAGAGAAAAGGGGTGCTCTCAAATTTGAGCTAGTATACATTAGCTGGGCTTGCTTTCCTGCCAGTTGTTTTAACAGGATCCAGGTTAAAACACAAGAGCTTCCTGAGTGGCACAAGAGCTCAGCTCCACTGTGACAGAGCTTTTACCACCCATCATGAGGAAAACAAACTGCTTCTTTGTGAGACAATTTTACAGCAAGGTGTTTGTTCCATGCAGGTTATAATCAATTGGCAAATATTTTTTGTAGATGATGGTGGATGTGATCCTGGTCACAGTCAAACCAAGAGCTGGTCAAAAAGTCCAGCCCAAGCCCTCACAGGTTTTGGGGACATTTCCATGGGTTTTGGACCAGTTCCTTGCAGGGAGCAGGACCACTCACCAGCTGCCTGGGGACATACCAAATGTGTGGTTGCTCGGGGAATGCAGAGCCATTGGTCATGGGGCAAAGTCCAGCTCAGGGGTGGCATTTTGTTGTCATGGGCCAGCTGATTGCTCTGATAGTTTTGCAATGATGCTCTTTCTCTGCTTCCAGGACCCCTGAAAAAAACACTGGTGCTACAGACCACGAACCAAGTACCTTAGTGCAGGAGCAACTCACATGAAGTCAGGAACTTTCGTCTGAGCAGCAGCTGGAGCAAATGTGTAGTCCGCATGAAATGTGTCTTGTCTGGCTGGCATAAAATAAAGCTGGTGATGAAAGCTGAATGACAACTTCTGTTGTCTCTCAAGCACTTTGAAGTTATTGTGATGCAGTTAGCATGTCTGTGCCTTGATTTATGTATAGTAAAGTTATAGAAAGAAACGGGTCCAAGTCTCCCTTTATTCATAGATGGAAGCAGCACTAGTTTTAAGGTTCTCTCTATTTACATGGGCAACAGAGAGATAGACTCATATCCATAGCTTGTAGAAGTATCACACTGGATTTCAGAGATTATGACAGTATCCTAGTTGATAGAGGCAACAACTCTCTTCAAAGATCCTTGGAAGATTTAAAGCACTATAAATTCTTACCACTGTCAGGATCTTGTATTTGGATATCTCCAGGTGATGCTGGAATATTTACAGTTTATTAAGAAAAAACAATAATCTCTCCATTCCTAGTATTTCTCTTCCCTCTCTCGGTGTCAGTTCTATCCTCAGACACCTCCTTCCTTCCACTTTTTGTTCCATTATCTTTTCTTTCCCTACATGTTATGTTCTCCTCAGATTCCTCCTACTCTCAAAAATAATCAAGTTACTAACTGCACTGCCCATCCCATGTATTATAGAAGATGGCAAAGTCTTTGCAGCTGGGAGTTTCCCTAATTTTGTGACCTGGTCATCTTGATCTTATCCTGAGGTATTGCTGTAATACATGTGAAAGTAGGAATTCTCCTCCCATCACCAAGCTTAATTCAGTGCTGCTGAATTTTGCATGCCTGCTTTTATCTGTGGTGTGTGTGGCACATTCTTCCAGCCCTGGCTATGGTTTCTGTCAGCAGTAGTGTAAATGTGTAAGACTGAGGGAGAGGAGGAAATCCCCCAAGCAAAAGAAGCCAAGGCTGAAATAAGAGCAACACTGGAGACCAGAAATTAGAGCAATGAAAGAAAAGTAGTATTTCAAACTCAGAAATTCATGCAATGGAGGCAGATAGAAGCCAGGGGACAAAGTTTTCTGTTCCTCCATCCAGGAGCTGGATAATAATGCTGGTCCAGAGAGTACACATCCCCTAGAGAAGAGGAGCAGCAGTACTGAAAAATGAAGAAGAAAGTGCTTGGGAGAATGTTTCAGGCTGGATTTCCCCCTTTGAAAGCTCCAGGCCTCACAGCTTTGAGGGCATTTGCTGATTTTTCAGGGAACAGCATTGCCCAGGGATAAGGAGATGTGTAAAGTTCATACTGGAGATGCTTTACTCACCAGCAGCACTGGCAGCATGGGCAGGGATTAATGCTGCAAAGCTCCTTATTTATGGGCTATTTCTTTTTAATGAGGCAGTGTTAGTGGCTAAGGAGAACTCCCAGACAGATCCATCAAAGACCAGGGCAGAAGTGAGGGAGGATTCAATTAGGATTTGAGGCCAACAGCATCTGTGGTGTAAAGTGACCAAAACTTGGGATTGTTCAATCTGATTTATGGGTTATGTCCTTGTTCTGCTGTAAGAGAAAGCATGGGGTGTTCCTTTTAACAGACTTCTCAGTCAAAATCAAGTACAAATGAGCCAGATATTACATGTGAGAATTATTTGTTATATAGAGGGATATGTGTCCCGACTAGAGAAGGGCAGAAAGTCAGGTAGAGAGGGGAAAAGCACGACACAGAGAGAGAAAGGACAGGGACAGAACGCTACCACCAGGATTCTGGGATGCACGGTCGGCATTCCAGCGGCAGGTGGAGCCGTGTTAGGGCTCAGCCTATGGAGTAATTTTCCACCCGATGTCAAAAAATGGGTTTATAACATCAAATCCGGAAAATGTTGAGGCATAAATAAGAATTAAATTGGTTCCTTATAGTCCTGTTAAGGTGTAAATACCCAGAACTAGATCAACTCCTTGCTGATTTACCCGAGTCAAAGTCTATCCAAATGGTGATTCAGAGGAATTGACAAACAAATGGATGGTCTGCAAAAGCAGAGTTGTCAGGAGAGCACCCCACCTAAGTGCTGCTCTGACACTTAAAAATTTCAGTGTGTTTATATAACAATTTCATTAAAAAATACCATACATGCTTACATTTCTAAGGTTAGTATTGATAAGCAAGCAATTAGAAATATGTGGTATCAGATTCCTGTACTTACAGTTAGTGTCCACACACTATGCACACACAATCTACATAGCCTAAAGCAGCTAGTCATCCTTATTGCTGCCTTGATTGCCTACTTGCCTGTTAACTACTCTGATATACTAAGTCTAAAATTTGTCAAGTCACCCTCACCTCAAGCTAGGTCTGCCAGGCTTTCTTATTATCTATACTTGTGCTAAGTACTTACTTATTTACACTAATTTCTTCTTACCTAGGTAAAACAAATTCCTTATTTTGAAAGAGTTAAAAGCATTGTGCCTAGGTATTCTTGGGCGAGAATAAGACACATTGTAAGCAACATAGAAGCGAGATGAAACTTGGCAGGACATAGGGAACAAAACTTGAAAAAAAAAAAGACAAAGTTTGGTAAAAACAGTGAGGAAATCACTAAAACAGCTAACAAGAGACTGCAAGAGATTCCTGGAGGAGAAAGGTGAAAAGGGCAGGATGAAGAAGATGCCAAGCCTTCATCAAAGCATCACCGAGGAAAATGTGGAGCCTTCCTCAGTGCAACCACTACGCCTGCTCTTTGCCAACGATAATGGTGAGTTCTAAGAAATATTTTGCCTCACCCCACCTTTTCTAAGGAAAACACTGAATATGCTTGAGTATAACCACACATTGTAATATTCTGTGTACCGCTGTGTGTATTAGGAGGAGATATCCCCCACGCACCCGGCCCGCTGAATAAAAAAATTCAATTTTTTTTGAGGTTTGGGGCGATTCAATTTCAATGGCACAAAATATCCAACAGCTCTTTTTCATGCCATGAATATCATGTTGAGTATGGTTGGTTCCCTCCCCTCCACCAGTGATTCCTAGATGACTTATGCTCCCTTGTTTCCTCAAGACTCTTATAAATCTTTATCTGAATTATTTAACCCCCATTCACTCCCCCTTTCCTCCACTGACTTTTATCTTTTGTTTCCTTTACCTTGATGTGTTTATTTTCTGCTCTGTCATTCCAGTCACTTCATTTCGCCTTCTACCCTTATGCATCTTTCATAATTTACCCCACTTTCCGCTGGCAAGGGGCAGGTTTTCCTACTGGTGGAGTCAATTTTTGTGGCATATCTAGGTTACTGTCAGGACTTCTTTCCTGTGTAAAATGTCATTCATTTTGTATGAATCTGCTTTAATAATTTATCCCACATCAAAAATGTATAATTAAATCACCATCCTGAAAATGGCTTTTCCATGTTGAGGTAATGGAGCAGAGATGGGCTGGAAAGTATTATCCCCAGAGAGTATTTTGGTGTAAAATAAGCCACAAGATTCAGGGAAAAGAGAAGGCTGGAACAGCTGAGAAGATGCTGATGTTTGGGGCCTGGATTAGAAGAGAAAGCAATGGACCCAATTTTACTTTGCCTTATAGTAAAGAACATCAAAAGCTTAAGAACAAAATTATCCCAGCCAAAATCCGGAGAGATATTGAAATACTTTCACTGATGACTTTTGTTTCAGAGCTAAGCAGCACAGAGCTGAACCACTTTAAAGAGAAAGACCCCAAACATCTTTGCCATAAAATCTCATTCACGCATCTCAGGATTCCAAACCCATTCAGGATTCCATTACTTACCTTTCCTGAGCTGCATATTTCCCTAAACTGGTCCAAAATGGACCACAAGATGCAAATAAGGCCAGAATTCATCTGAATTCATAGTGATGGGAGAGCTGCTGTTGTCCTGGTGATGTAGGGATACCTGTGAGGCAAGGCTGGTAGATGCTTTATCTTTTATGGGAAGAATGTATTTGATCTGGCTGAGATGGAGTTCATTTTCCCACAGCAGCCTTCACGGTGCTGTGCTTTGCATGGGTAGCTGGAAAGGTGTTGATAACACACCAGTGTTTTGGCTGCTGCTGAGCAGGACTATCTCTCTGACATTCCCCCTCCCCATCAAGGAACTGGGAGTGGGCAAGATCCTGGAAGGGGACAGAACCAGGGTAGCTGATCCAAATTAACCAAAGGGATATTCCACACTGTATGCTGTCAGCTCAGATATAAAAGCTAAGGGAGGGAGGAAGAGCAGGGAGCATTCATTATTCTACAATATTTGCCTTCCAAAGCAGCTGCTGTGGGTGCTGAAGTCCTGCTTCTGGGGAAGTGACTGAACATTGGATGTGGAGATTAAACTTTCTTCCCCTTTGCTTGTGTGTGCAAAAATCTTCACTTTCTTTTTGCTCTAGTAAACTGCCTTATCTCAACCTACTAGTTGTTTTTTGCCTTATTTTCCCTCTCCTGTCCCTCTGGGAAGAGGAGTGATAGATAAACCAGAGAAGGTTTTGATAGTGGGCGTTCCTCTCTGTGCTAGAAACCAAAATATTTGGGAATCTCATTGGCTCTTTCTGAAAAGCTTCTAGATATCATCCACATTTTCTTAGGCCAAATCTTCCCTCTTGGTTTGTCTTATCTCTGCTGTTCCTCTGTGCAGAGAAAAGACATGTATTGAACACTTCTAAGCTAGAGAGGAAAAAAGGCAAATTATTTGAATTGAGAAGGATGAATGTTGTGTTATTAATGGGCTTAAAAATATATGAGTTGCAATCCTTAACTCTGAGTTCTTCAATCATCTGGTTGCATGTGGTTTGGATTTCATTTTACTGCTTGTGTGAAGCAAGCTAAGAGTGCACCAGTGCAGAAGGAGGTTCCTTTCTGGAAGAGCTCATTGCTCCTGAGCTGTTTTCAGTAGGGGGATCTGGGCAGCACATGGGGATGCTGGTGCTTCAGAAACACCAGGTGACTGAATGCAGGCTGATCTCTTTGGAGAAATTGTCCTGCCATATTTTAATTGTGACAAGCAGACAGAATGAAGGGCTACCAGCTGGTGCCATCTCCAGTGTGTTCAAGGAGCTCTGTAAAAAGTGCACTCAGAAATGAACCTTGCCTCAGGCAGTATTTTAAACAGGCAATGGCCCTACTCATGCCACAAAGTATGCATCTATTTG